AAATTTTGACATAAGTTGGTTATATATGTGATAGACTCATAGACTTCGGCCTTGTTTGGTAAATGGTTGTTAGCTGTTGCTGATAGCTGGTTGTGTCAGCTGTTTCGCAACAGCTGGTTGTGTTAGCTGTTTTGACCGACTGGTTATGTTGGCTGATTATAAATAACTGTTTGGTAAAATTGGCTCTTTCGAAATGGCTGATAGAGTGTAAATTGAACCAGCCAAATGAAGAAGCTGCTCCCCTTAGCTTCTTCCACAATCCATTTTTTTAGCTTTTCAAACTCAACAAGCTAATTTTAAAAGTCATTTACCAAACATCATTATTAGCTTCTTTGACTAATCAAACGGTTGAAATGGGTCAAACAAGCTAAAAGCTGGCTGATAAGCTATTTGCCAAACATACCCTTCATGATTCGACACAACTATTTCAATTGGCTTTGAAACCATTGGCAGAGGCGGAGTCAAAGCACTGAGCCGCTACAAAGAATATATTTGGAAAAATTTTACACATATTTTTTACACTAAAAATATGAACATTTTTTAAATTTAGGCTGGGTCTGGGCCATGGTTGGCCCTCCCCTGGCTCCGCCCCTGACCATTGGACCAAGTATTATAAACTACTCCCTCCGTCTCATAAAATAAGTCCCATTTTCCTTTTTGGGCCGTCCCAAAAAATTGTTCTCATTTCCCTTTTTGGAAAGTTTTGTGTGGCTAACATTCATTTAACTTTTTCTTACTCAACCACAACCATACATTTCCACTTTCTTCCCACTTTCTTAAACTCCGATCCAAGTCAAAGTGGGACTAATTTTCCGGGACGGAGGGAGTAATTATTTTCTCTAAACTTGTATAAGACTCGTATTTTTATTTTAAAAAATTGCTTTAATTAGGAGTACAACATAGATAAAGTGTACAAATAGAAGTAATTATATTTTCTTTCTAAATAGGATTTATTTAGTTATACAAGCATAAAACTTCCCCAATTACAAGTGAATGACTGTTAAAATTAGTATAGTGAAGTGAATACATCAACATCATCATTACCCCTGTGTCGAAAAGGCTCACACCTACGGTGGGGTAAGGGGTCGAATGTACGCAGTCTTACCCCTGTACTAAAGTACAGAGAGATTATTTCCGGATAACACATGACGAAAATCGTGTCAAAAATTGCATGGATTTACTGTTACTTTATAACAAATAAGCGCAGACAGTTTAGTGAGTCATTTTGCTTTATTCCATCATTTTCCCAAGCCAAAAAATAGTGAATATTTGGCTCCATTGCAAATGATGAAGTGAATGAATGTTAAAAAAAGAAAATAATGATGCTTGATTGCTTGGTATACTTTTATCTTTGTTTTAATACTACTTACTTAATTTTCTTTTTATTTTAAGACTGGATTGGTGGATTACAAGTTGTATACTTGTATACCGTATATGCATGCAGCTCTCAGGTAGTTTGGGTTTTCAGTCAAGATAAAATGGAGGGGAATGTTATTTTGGTAAACTTTTTGGGTGCATTCTTCCATCTTCATATATGTCGTTCATTTGTGATTTGTTAAATGATAAAGGGTTATCTTTTCAATATTTAATAAATGGATGAGGATTATGAAAATACACGTTTGCCCAAAGTTCTGTTAGCTCTTTTCAGACCATTCCTCACCCGTTTTTCATAATGCGCCCAATGTGATTGGATTATGAAATGTGCAGGCTGGCAGGGGATTATGGGTTTGACCCGTTGGGTCTAGGAAGAGACCCGGCATCCCTGAAATGGTACAGAGAAGCAGAGCTGATCCACGGCAGGTGGGCAATGGCGGCAGTTGTAGGCATCTTTGTGGGTCAGGCATGGAGTGGCATCCCATGGTTCGAGGCGGGAGCCGACCCTGGAGCGGTCGCGCCCTTCTCCTTCGGCTCACTCCTCGGCACCCAGCTTCTTCTCATGGGCTGGGTCGAGACCAAGAGATGGGTAGATTTCTACAACCCAGGTTCCCAATCCGTAGATTGGGCCACGCCGTGGTCGAAAACCGCCCAGAACTTCGGTAACGCCACGGGCGAGCAAGGCTATCCGGGCGGCAAGTTCTTCGACCCGCTCTCCTTAGCGGGCACCATTGAGAGCGGGGTTTACGTGGCTGACGTGGAGAAGCTAGAAAGATTAAAGGTTGCGGAGATAAAACATGCGAGGCTTGCGATGTTGGCTATGTTGATATTCTTCCTTGAGGCGGGACAAGGGAAGACGCCTCTTGGAGCTCTCGGGTTGTAAGAACTAAAAATTGTAAAGGCTAAGAATCATTTCGATCTAGAAATTCTCTCCACATATGAAGCCCTACATGGATTTCTCTATGCCCTCTATTGAAATTTGAAAATTTTAAAGATGATCACCACAGAGGCACAGACTCCCCCTTGTTCAACTTTGAAAATTTCAAAAGGAATGTCGTTTTGGGTCTTGGTTTAACCATCATGGTGTTGGTTTAAAAAACAAAGATGAGACCTTTTGATCCCTTATACATAGGGATGGACTGGGCTCGGTCTCACCGGCCCATGGACCGACCCGGCCTGGTACTGTTTAGTACCGAAATGGACTGCTGACCGGGACTGGTCCATGGGGCCCGAACCGGGGGTAGGGGTGCTACCGGACAGGGAAAAGGTGTCCGGCCCGGCAAGACTGGTCCGGGTCAAAATAATTTTTTGTTTAGTTTTTTGGCATTGGGCCGCTGCTGGGTGGGTTGGGTTGGGTATTTTGGCGGGTTTTGGAGGTGGTGGTGGGGGTAGGAATAAATTAGAAAAGACAATTTTTATTTAAAAAAAATTGACCCGGCCCGGTGCCGGTTCAAACCCGGGCTGATACTGGGCCTTCAGCCCAAATCCCCAGTCCCGCCCAATCCCAATCCATGCCTACTTATACACGATTGAACTTGGGACTTTAGACACACTTACAAAGGTATGATTAATGACAAATGAAAGACTTAAATAAAACTTATTAACACATACATAGCATTATACATAATGGTATTCTTGCCGTGATTCAGTGGTTAATGTGATGATCTAAATTTTCATTTTTCATTATAATGACTAAATGACTACGTTTATATTTTAAAAGTGATCATGCACTTTCATGCACTTATACGTTTATAGATGACTAATATTTAATTAACTTATATGACAGATTTCATGATTAAAAGCGTTAAAACAAACTTCACTGTTTCATACGTCGAAAAATATTCTTTGGAGATAGGTAGAGTTGGACCCGGGCCGGGCCCGGACGGGCTTTTTTTTAGGAAACATGGGCCCGGAACCGGCCCGGGGTGATACCGGGTCCGGTCCGGGTTGGGCCTACCCGGCCGTGTGGTGGGCCGGTTCGGGTCGGGTCTGGGCTATTTAATTTTTTTTATTGTTTAAATATTAAGATTACTTGGACATAAAAAAGTTAAAATATATTTATTTGAACTTTGGCGAGATTAAGAGCTTCCAACGGCTATAGAGCCGTTTGGATTGAATCCCAACGGGTATAAGGCCTGTTTGGCTGGCCAAAAGATTTTTTTTAAATATAGCCGTTAGGCCCGGACCGGGCCCGAACCGGCCGGGCCGGGCCTCCATTTTTGTGAACCGTGCCCGAACCGCCCCACCCCCGGGCCGGGTCACAGCCCGCACCACCTATACGTTACCCGGGCCGGGCCGGGCCCGCACAGTAGCGGGCCGGGCCGGGCCCGCACAGTAGCGGGCCGGGCCGGCCCGGTTTGGTCCATCCCTAGAGATAGGGAGTATGTAATACTTCTTCCGTTCTTTTTTAATTGCAATAGCCCACTTTTCACGTTTGACAACATACAAGTTTGACTATTAATATCTTTCATTCCTTATTAGTAAATAAAAAATAAAAAAATTATATTTTGAAAATTTCAAATGAGAAGAATTTAACAATATTTTTTAAAAATTTAATTTATAATGCAATAATAAATAAAATATAGTCAAAGTAGAATGTATGAATAGTGCAAAAAGTATAATGTTGCAATTAAAAGAGAACGGAAGTAGTATGTTTTTGAGCAACTTATGAGGAACATTTGCAAAAGAAAATATTCTTATAAGCACTTATGATGCAAAAATGGCTTGTAATTAGAATCACCCTAATATTAATATAAAGGTTCATTTCATTATAAACAATATTTATAGGTATATATCTCACTCCGATCCATAGCAGTACTTAAATAAATTGATGTTCTTACTTCCGTTTTTCTCCAAGTATGATCAATTTTCTTAAACTATTCTTTTCCTCCTAGAACTTAGTTCTTGATTAAAATTCACCGTGTTTTAGGTAAAATAACTTTTTCTATAGACTTTCCAAGTATGTTCCTCCTCACTGATATTGCTATTTAATAATGGCTTTATTAAATAATGGTTTTATTTCTATTGTTATTTGCGCCGGACATTGCGTGATTTTGATTGTTTTTGTTGTTTGTTTTACCAAGACTCTAGAACATAGGACAGAGGATGGAGAACCTAGTTTACTAGTCATTGGCTCAAGTAAGCTCAATTCAGGATCAGCGAATCTGGTTGCTTTACTAGAAGTGACAGGTTCTAAGTCTGGTTCAAGGGCAGACGGTAGACATAGGGTGCTTTGTCAGTTTGTACTCTGTTTGCGTTCTCTCTTATTAATATAAGCCACCTCCTTCCAAAAAAAGTATGTTCATCCTCAAAAGTAATAATGAAAAAATGAATAATCAATATGGAGTAATATAATTCCCATAGGGGTAAACAGAGATTTTACCACTCAAATATTACCAAGATAAAAGTGATAATTTAATTTTAGATCAAAAGTGAGAAGTGAATTAGGAATAGATTGATGTTCTTACTCCCGTTTTTCTCCAAGTATGATCGATTTTCTTAAACTATTCTTTTCCTCCTAGAACTTAGTTCTTGATTAAAATTCACCGTGTTTTAGGTAAAATAACCTTTTCTATAGACTTTCCAAGTATATTCCTCCTCAAAAGAACTAATTAAAAAATGAATAATTAATACCGAGTAATATAATTCCCATAGGGGTAAAACCGTAAAATGAGATTTTACCACTCAAATATTACCAAAGATACAAGTGATAATTTAATTTTAGATCAAAAGTGAGAAGTGAATTAGGAATAGATGGAGTATTTATTTGTGGGAAACCATTACAATTGCAACTTGCGCTCATAATTAATCATGAAAGAAGTGGAAAGTGGTAAATTGTAAATCATATCTTAATATGATCATGAGATATGATGATTGAAATGGTAAAATGCTAAATCATCACATCAATATGAATTATAATAAAAGGCCTTGCCCCATGCAAGTAAGATCAGTTAGTAGCAGAGCAAACTTTGCGAATTTCACCATCACTCCCAGTTTTAACCTCAATGTTTGTCATTTTCACCATGGACCGCCCAAACTCCAAGGGGAACCTAAGCCCAAGAAACCCTCTGAGGCCCAGGAACCGCTGAACGTACGTTTTGGTAGAGATATCGGCCCACAGTCTCTGGTCAGATTCAAGAACCCCACGACCCTTTTGGAGATTAGAGAAGTAAGAGTTATCAAAGTTCATGACGCTGCCGTCGTCGAGATCCACCCGCTTGTTGCCGTCGCCGCCTTGGGGACAGAGAGCCTGAAGCCTGGAGAGGAATGATGGGTCTACCGGAGGGTCCGCACTGGCGTTGAATAGTCTGTAGCTGAAGAACTGGCAAGCTGTCTGCCCAATTGTGTGCGACCCTAATAGCAATAACAAGATGATGATGTTGATTAATATCAGTAATAATAATTATAATTATTAATATTTGTGTCACCTTTTATGTTTGAGAATTATCCAAAGCTCTACAATTGCAACCATTCTACGTGTACACGTCAGCTTAGACACCACCTTTTATGTTGTTGTGGATAGGCAAATTGTTTTTCGTTTGTTGAAAGATGACGGTCCATAACCTCGAAAAAATTTATTGGCTGTGCTTAGGGAGTTCATCTTTTCGTGATTACAGACGTTTTTATTTACTAAAATGAAAATAAATTATTTGTACAAAAACAAAAAACATTTGTCGTGTAATTCGACGTGTACAAGTAGCTCGCATTTTCCCTACACTTCAAGATATTCAAATATGTCATTTGACTTTTCATATTGAGAAATATGTATATAATAGGAACCGGAGGGATTCCTATTAAAGTTCTCACTTTCCTTTTTGGGATGTCCCTTATTTAAGGTCACATTTCCATTGTAGGAAACAAAATAGTGCCAAACAGTGTTCAAACAGTGCCAAACAGTGCCAAACAGTGTCCAAATAGTGCCAAACAGTGCACTCCACAGTAAAATCAAATTTATTTCCTTAATCTGTATGAAGTCAAACTGAGAACTTTAATAGGAACCGAATGGAGTATAATAATTTGACAAATTATTTCACGATACAATGTAGGTATGATTTTTAAATAAGTAGTCGCTAAAGTGGACAAGATTAACTCAAATAATCAAAATATAATCTAATTGTGTGAAGGACTATCCATTAAAAATGTGTGAGATCGAGTTAAATGTAAGAAACATTTAAATTATACTACCTCTGTCCCGCTATGATCGTCTCGTTTTACCTTATCGATTCGTTCCACTAAGATTGTCTCATACCAAATTTGGTAAAGTTTGTGCGACACTATTTATTCTTGCTTTATCAATTCAAGATCAATCACATAAATCACTTTTTATTGATTTGCGTGTCATTCCCTCTTGTCTCATTGTTAGTAGGACAGAGGGGCACTACGTATCTCGTACCAAGATATAATTGAGATTTCGTTAGTGACTCTCAACATAAACTACATATGCACCGTGTGAATTATTGTATTGGAATGCTCTAGATCATGTGTTGTACAATTTATGTTTAGCATTTTTGCTAAAAATAAACTACGAGTAAAATATGCTAAGTAAAACCGTAGAAGACTATGTAAAGTATGAGAAACAAATTCATTAGTCAGTTTTTTATATCTCTCGTGTGTGTCACATATGAATGGTTCACATAATTGCATTAGAGATACTCTAATACATCATTTTGAACATAATATATGCCCTAATGAGATTTTGTTAGATAATTAATTAATGATATTGACTTTGGTTTTTGATTAATTGAAAGTGGGTATATAGATTAATGCTTACCGACGAGAGCCACAAGATCTTGAGTGTTGAGGCCTTTGTCGGAAAACTTTTGCTTCTGGACGTCAACGGTGTCCGTAAAACTCGGAAGATTAGCCGTGTCTGACGCCAATGACACCCTCCCATCCCTCCGTCCCGTCGGAACTGCCCAACTTATCCCTCCCGCCTGCATCAAATTACAATAATGCAATTTCCCACATTCAGGAAAACTTCTTTCAATTCTTCCTGTACATTATTTTTCAGCATCTAAAAGACAAAACTTTGCTGACAAAAAACATACGGAATATATGACAATAATGCAATTTAACTTTTATACTTTTATTAAAATCTTTTTAACAAAGCACGTTTTCAATATATAATTTTTATATTTCAAATTAACCCAGTTTATCTTGTTGAGTGGTGGGAAATTTGGATCAAAAGATCAATGTTTGAATCCCGCAGCGACCGATCGATCGTGTGAAGGTTACAGTTTCTGAAATGGGCTGAACCTCTAACGCGCATGAGTATATGAGTATATGATTTACATGCTGTCGGTTGGGTCGGTGTGTGCCCTCAGCCCTCAGGTGGTAGATTCCAGCTTTTGGGATCTAGTAATAATGGAGAGACCGAGAGAAAGTAAGTAATTAAAGAATTACCAGCTCAACGGAATCACGGGCAGCAAGAGCGAGAATGTCAGCACAAGAAACGACGCCCGGGCAGGCAGCTTCGAGCTTTGTTTTAGCATCGTCTATGACCTCAAATCCTCTCAGACTTAGGTTAGGAGGGGCAGTTCTCTCGGAGTTTGGGCCGGTGATGAGAACGGAAGCGTCGCAACCGTGCACAAAGCAGTCGTGGAAGATCATCCTCAGCAGCCCGGGCGCAATCATGGTATCCGACTGGTAATGCGACCGCACCGTCGCTTTTACTATTTGCTCCGCCGCCGGACACGAGGATTGGTAGAACCCCACTCTCGTGCCTTGGCCTAGTGCCATGGCTGCGCTCGTGGCCAGCAAAACTAGAACTAAAACACCAACTTTGCTAATAACCAAGAACTTCATGATGGTAAACTAGCTAATTAATTACTATTACGGGCTCTTGATTAATTACTAACAATTAACAATGCTTGATCGATTGTCTTGAGATATATGGTTGTATATATATGTTCTTTACTACACTGATGCCATGATGATATGACATTATGGTGGGTGGAAAAGTCAAAGTATCGCATCCCAGGAAAGAGAAATCTTCAATATGTGAAATCTCGACTGAAATCACTGCGTAAAATTTACTGTCTAGCTTGGTCAACCATTTTAGTTAATCTATGGGAAAATCTCACTTTTACCGACTGAAATAGTCACAAATTGAAATGTCAAATCCATATATCTGCGATTATAAATGTCACCCAGAATTGTTTAAATTGTTGTAAATGTTCCCCTTGAGAGATGAAATGTACTCCTCGCTCACATCGTACATTTCACCCTCAAATGACCACATTTACGGATTTGGATAATTGGGGGTGACATTTACAAATGGAGAACACAGATTTGACATTTCAATAAGGTGACTATTTCGAGAAATAAAAGTGTCATTTTCCCTTAATTTATTTTGTAAAACATATAAATTTTATAAGTTTATGAAAGTAGTTTTTACAAAAATATTTTGATATTATTCTCAATCATAAATACTTTTATATGTTGTATCGATCCAATTATATCGGCAATTATATTTATGCGTGGTCCAATATATTTGAGATAATTATCTTAAGACTAAAATTGATTCGATCACTATCCCAATCTATGATCTAATTAGGGGTGTTTGAAACTGATTCTGCTTCTTCTTCTTTTTTTAAAGCAGAAAAAGAATCAGTTTTCAGAAGTTGGCCTCCCCCGCTTCTAAAAAACTAATTCTAGGAGTAAATTAGAGCATCAAAAGTACTTTTGCACTTTCATCCAAAACCACTCCAACTTTTGTTTCTGTTCCTTGAAGGGACAAAAGTAGTTTTAAAAATCAGATCCAATCACCTTCTTAGTTTTTCCCAAAATAATTAATGTTGAATTGGTTATGTATAAATAATGTATTTATTAAATAAATTGACAAATAATTTATGTGGATAAATATGCCATTAACCAGTTATTAACACCGAAATTGGATGAATCGGGTGATTCACCTGAAATTTATGAAGTTGACTGAATAGACTGGATTGGCTGATTCTGCTGATTTGTGAAAAAGAAAATTAAAATATATTTTATTAATAAAATAAAGAAAAATAGTTAAAATGATCCTCTATAGTAGCTTTAGCCAAACTAGTTAGAAAAGTAACTTCAGCCTTACTTATTTTGATAATTACACAATTCAGCGCCAAAATAAAAAAGTTACGTATTTAGTGAAAAAGTTTACTGATAATAAGGTGAATAAAAGGATTACCGAACATGTTGTACTTTTATTAAATGAGTTGTGTATATTTTTCTGCAAAATGGCTAAAATGTTAAGGATGTTTTCTTTTGAACTGTTTTAAGTCCCAGAGCAGACTCATCCAAATTAGACCAAATTGAACTTAAACAGATCAGACCAGACAATATTTAAATTGAGCAAATCAAACTAGACCAGACATTTGTGAAAATATATAGAGAACGTGCATTTATCAGAACAGACCAAGTCAAATCAAACCAAATGAGAAGAACAAATTTGAATTCAAAAAAACACCCTAAGGCTACCCGCAACCCTTATCCGTCAATAAATCTCATTTCCCCCCACTTTATACGTATTCATTCAATCAATTTATTTTTCTCTGCAATCCAACCCCGTCAATATATTCACTCTTCAATTTTTTTCTTAATTAAAACCTTTTGTTTTATTATCATACATTAATTCTTTGTTTATGTTTTTTGTGAATAGTTATCATTTTAAAAGTCATACATTCCGATGTAGAAATAAATAAATTTGGAGTTTAATTTTTTTGTCACTAATTAAGAACTAGTTTTGAAATAAATATTTGAAAGATATAAAAAGTATTATTCCAATCATGAGATTTTAGTTTTAGCATTTCGATCAACTTTACAAAAAATTTAAACCTAAAGTCTCTAGCTGATAAAACTTTTATTTTACAACTATACATATGATATATTGGTGTCATACGAAAGAATAAAAAATTATGAATTTTAATAGTACGTATAGTTTTTTTTAAAAATAGTTTACAAATAAAAAAGTTATCAACATTAAAGAAATTTGGGTATTTTAATATATTTGGCCCCACATTTCTGCTCATAGCAGGTCCTTGCTTACCTTGCTCTCTCTCCGTGAATAAGGCTGGGAATTCCCACTACAGAAGCTTGATATAATCACTTTAGCACCTCATAATACATGGATTGCAGCATATTTGGGGTTGAAAAGATTATACTATGTACGGAGTATGTGGTTCCGAGATAGGCCATTTAGGTTTTTGTCAGTTTTTTATACTCACATGCATTGTCCATCTTCTTCCGTCAACACACCGGCCCGTTTTTTGCTTCTTTTTTCGTTCTCATCATTTTGATTGCCAAAAAAGCTAATTGAATCGATGTATTTAATTTTTAGAAAATATAATTACGTTCAATAAAGAATATCTCATTTTTAAAGGTTGTTTGAGATCATTATTTAATTTTTTATTTTGATGATCAATAATTCTCATTTCATACTATCTGATCTTTTTAGAATTTATTTAACTTTAGATACATTGCTATACTTCGAAATATTCTTAATGAGAGGGGCGGACCTATAGGCTACGGAGTAAGGAGGGTATGGACAGGCTTCACCTCAAAAATTGTTACTAGACTAGGTTGTAGTACTATGAATATTAAAATCCCTGTAACACGTCAAAAAAACATCTGCTTTGTCACGGATTTTGTCACGGACCGTAGTTCAAAAAATCCGTAACAAATGATTTTTGTCACGGACTTTGTCACGGACCAAATCCGTGACACCAGGGGCGTGATAACGTTTTTGTCACGGACAGTAATCCGGGAGAGCGTTTGTCACGGAATTGTCACGGCCACCATCTGTGACAAAACACTTCACCGGAACTCCGTCGCCTTTTATTTGTCACGGCCACATCCGTAAATAAATTTTTTTTATTTTCAAAAAAAATTAATTATTTGTCACGGAAATATCCGTGACAAAGGTTACGGATTTGTCACGGCCACCATCCGTGACAAAACACTTCACCGGAACTCCGTCGCCTCTTATTTGTCACGGCCACATCCGTGAATAAATTTTTTTATTTTTCAAAAAAAAATTAATTATTTGTCACCGAAATATCCGTGACAAAGGTTTTACAAATTTAAAAAAAAGGTTTTCGAAATAGAGTGGGCGGGTATTTGAAACGAGCTGAACAATTCAAATTTTTAATTCTGTCACGGACATATCCGTGACAAAAAATTTTGAAAAAAAATTGAAAAATTTGGAAATAGGTGGGCGGGTACTTTAAAAATTTCAAAAAAAAAACAAAATTTTGAACTTGTCACGGATCTAATCCGTGACAAAATTTTATTTTATTAAAAAAAGTTACCTTATTTTAAGCGTTTTGGGTATTTTAAATAAACTGAATTTATATTTTATCACGGAACCGTCAAAGTTTAATTCAAAACATGGGTATTATTTATCACGGGTATTTAAAAAATTCAGCTCATTTTGAATGTTTATTTTAAAATTTCAAAAGTTTATTTAATAACCACTAAAATCATTAAAATTTAGGCGCATTTTAAAAAATTTAAACTTAATAAATAGTTAAACAATCATCATTAATCTTAATAAATAATTGTTTATAATAAATAATTAAACAATCATCATTAATCACCATTAAACATTATTTATCATAATAAATAATAAACCAATCAAACCATCATTATATAACACAAATAATTAATATTCGTACAGTAACCATCAAAATTTAAAAATCCTTAAAATGTCAATAAACTAGTTATTACAAACCATCAATGGTCATCATAATCATCATCATCATTATTAGGTTCCTCGCGATGATCGGGTTGCCTTACGTACGTGGCCACGGCTGCCGCCAGTCCGCCACGATGGCTGCCTCGACTGCCACCGGCCCACCACGGCTGCCAGCCCGGCTGCTGCCACGGAATGCTTGAGCTCCGGGAGTCAATAATGGGGTATCATCATAATATCCATATGGAAAATTGTTGGAGATATGGCTCTAATTTGCAAAACCCCTACTGCCCATACTGCCCATATTGCCCATATTGCCCGCGAAGGGAATTTGCGGAGTCATCTCGGGGTGCTGTATGTGCATGGATGGGCGGTAGGTGGCGTTGAACATATGCATTTGTCGTTCCATCTCTTCCAACCTTTCCCTCGTTCTTCTTGCCTCTTCATCCCGTATCCGAGCTTCTTCATCCCGCCTTCGAGCCTCTGCTTCACGTTCCTCCAATTGTTTCTCTAGGAGGGTAACCCGATCATCATACACCGAATGAGAAGATGAGCTAGCTCCTTTGGACTTCTCCAGGATCCGTAAGCCTTCAGAACTCATAAGCGGCACCCGGCCCTTGTAAACTCCGGTTGCCGCCAAGATGGCCTCATCATCTTGATTTTCATCAACTCTCTTCCCCCGCTCATCAAAAATGTATTATATAAAAGATCAAAAAAATTCAAAATTTATTGAATTATTGAAGTTTCATTGTTTACTTGAATTTCAGAAAGGCGGGGAGGCGGCGCCGTTACAGCACCCTTCTTGGTCCAACAATGTGCCATGAGTTTCAATGGCGTGACCCTTTTTTTCACGGGTCCAGATCCTTCCTACACGGATTTCAAAGTTAATAAAAAAATATATATACATAAGGGAATGGAATGGAAATAATTTTAATTAATTGGAGTTTACCAGATCTTTTTATGTTGAATTTGGGGTTTGCGGCCCCCGTGCCATTGAACATCCTTGGCTTTTTCCGAGTTCCGGTTTGCCTTGGCTGTTTCGCTTCTCAGCAAAAATGCGGGATCCGTGGCCCAATGGCGGCAAAGCATCTCCCACACATCATCGCCAAGGAATCTTGGCTTTCGACCGGTAGACCGGGCGGTCCTAAAAGTGGGTCTCAACCAACCCGAGATCCTAGAATTGTATTCTTTGAGAATAGCTTGATCTAGGGCAAAATGCCACCGATGGGAAGCCTTCATTAAAAACATTGATATATCATTTATTAAATTTAAG